ATTGGTTAAAATCCATGAAATCGCCATTTTCCGTAATTAAATCATTGATGAAAAATATGCCATTGGTAATCCACTTTCGCTTAAACACATATTTTTTTCCGACTTTGATATCATTATTTAGCCAGAGTGGTTGACTAAGAATTTCGCAAGGGGCTGTGGTAGAGTTTTGACTAGCCTTTCCCCAAGATATTAATACACTTTTCCAGAATGGATTAAATTTACTTGTAATGGTTTCTAAACCTTCATTTCTAAAATACCACATTTTGTCGTTTCCGAATTTTTGTGTCGTGTCTGAGAGCAAGAGTTTCCATGGCGAATGAATATTAGGGTCAAGTATTTTCTTGACCCATGATATTTTCAAGGCTTGGCAGAAAGATGCTAGATGAGGAACCTTAAGCCCTCCGTTTTCTGTTGAATTATATAGAACGTTGCGCTTGATCTTGTCTGGTTTGCCTTCCCAGATAAATTCAAAAAACATATTTTGAAGTTTCTTTAAAAAATCTGAAGGTGGGTCTGGAAGAACAGTAAAAAGTTGAACAAAAATTGGTAAAACCAGTGTTTTGAGCACAGTGACTTTTCCGATCAATGTGAGGTTTCTAAAAGACCAATCATTAATAAGCTTTTTGGCAGCTTGTAACTTTTCCTCATAATTATCATAAGTGATATCCGGTTTGTTTAAGTCAAAAGTTATACCTAAGAGTTTAAATTTACCGTCATGATTCCACATTATTTTTTCTTTTGTCTTAATCTCTTGACCACAGCCCCTTTTTGCACCAATCCATAAAGCTTGTGTTTTTTCGAAATTGGGTTTTAGCCCGGAGCAAGCAGCAAAGGAGTTTATACATTTTAGTGCTAAGTTCAGGGATTTTTCATCATCTTCGAGCGCTAGAGAAGTATCGTCTGCATATTGGCTAACAAGGTATTCTGAATCTTTAATGTTTATTCCCTTTAAATCCCCATTCAGTTTTCCAAATGGTTTGCGTTTCCGTCGAGCTATGTGTATCTATAAGGAAAGTAATATCAAATTTATCTCGACATCTGTTAAAAATATCCCTACGTTTTACATTATTTGAAGCAAGTCCCCGACAATTCTGGCAACCAATTTTTAAATCATTCATAAAATAACAAAAAGAAGATGAAAAGATTGTTTGTTATTTCTACAGTCAGTCTGAAAATTGTTTGTATATACATGTAGACAGTTTTTATAGTATAAAACCCTCCCACACACTGATGTGAACACCCTCCCATCCAAGAAAAAAAACTTCCGCATTTTAAAGCCCCTGGATATCAAAAAATGACACACTGTACATTAAGAATATTTCACACTTTTATATTAAACAAAACGATATGAGCATAAAATATTTAAATCAATAGTTATCTAGTTGTATTGGCCGTTACGACTCAATTGTCATTCTCAAGATAGCACCGATATTTATCAATGAAAAGGCAGGTAATTCCGTAACTGAGCGAATACACATCTTGTCAGTTGTAAACACGGGTATCGGGGTCACTGAACCGGACAATCTATTTTTTGAGTTTCTCGAAGGGGAAATCCTTTATGTACACTAGTTTTGTCTTACTTCTAGCCTCCGGTGGCATTGCGAATCTCTCCTTTAGGAGTTTGGCTCTCAGGTCGCTTATTTCCCTAGGGAGGTCAGGCGATATCCCATATTCTGAACCCTTCTTTAGCTTTCTCGCCCCCTCAAGAACCTCATCTCTATCAATAAGACTGCTAAATCGAACGATAATGTTTCTTTTCCCTTCTGGTCCACCTGGCAGGCGATGTACAGCTTGTAAAATCACCCCGTTTGCAAATGACTCCTCAAATTTAAGAACACCATTCAAGAATTGTCTCACCTTCTTTTCTGTTTCTCTTGGTCGTTCATCATTTGACCCTTCAACCCCCCGGACAACCAAATTCCATTTTCTGCCCCACATTTCCAGCTTGAGTCGTTCAATTCGTTCACCTTTAAGTGCCTCTTTTATCTCCGGAAAAGACGTTTGATGAATGTCTGAAATGTCCTGATTAAGGTTTTCACATACCGTTTCTAGGTCACCAACACGTTGCTTTATATCCTGGATTTCTCCTCGAACACCCTTAATTTCCATGGACATAATAGCAAAGCATTCTGCAAGATCTTTTCCCTCAAATTGTTTTTTTTAATTCATCCAAACTGTGATTATAATTTTCGGATGGGCTATTGTCTACTTCCATTTTAGGGGCACTAAAAGTGAACTCCTTGTCGGCCATTAACAGAACAAAATCGTGCGTGACGGGTAGTACTTAGTGAAGCTAGATTATAGGAACAATAGCTTTGGACTAGACTTGACTTGCTTCCTTAAAAATCTCTCATAAAATACGATTGTTAATTAGATACTACACATTTTGGCCTGACAGACGTGTGAAAAGTTATTTACAATAGAAATATCCCAGGAGCTCAAAAAACACCACTCACCCCGCCATTCGTCAACCGGAAGTTTTTCATGATATTTCATAGTTTATACATCAGTTGTTCCAGAGTGTTTGTTTTACTTCGAATTCCTTTGCTTTACTCTGCTGTTGTACATCACCAATATTATATAACGTATAGGAGTTAATCGTAAAAAGTGTACATAAGTCTTAGACAGTTTACTGTCCATCTATAGGTATAGCTCAATTGCAATCGCATGATCTCGGGTCTCTCAGTCAAAGGTCGGTAAAAAACAACCTCGAATGTATTACACAGCTAATTGTGCCACGTACGTGTTACATATGGTTGCACATAACACATGTATCACGTATGTGAAATGTACGTATCACATACGTGTATTACAAACATACGTTTCACGTATGTGGTACAATGTACGTATAACATATGTATGACTACATACGTTTCACATCACGTACGTTAAACGTATGTTTGGAATACACGTATGTGTTACGTACGTGAAACATACGTGATACATATGTTATGTGCAATCATACGTTACACGTTTGTTGATAAACGTACGGTTTACATGTGTATTGTCAACCACATGTTACATGTACGTTAATTAACATATGGTTTACATGTGTATAGTCAACCACATGTTACACGTACCTTAATGAACTCAAGGTTTACATGTGTTTTATAAAGCACAAATGTCATGTATATATATAGTTTATGTGCATTATAAACCACACATTAAATATACTAATGTACATAAATAAATAATGGTTAACTTGTTTTCTAAAGCTCTCATTTCATATATGTTGATGAATGTAGTATGTGTATTATCAGGCACATGTTACATATACATTTAAAAAGGTGTTTTACATGTGTGTGAAAACCTATGTTTGAGAATGAGAAGGCTGTATATTATATAAATTCATACTATTACATACATGTATGATAAATGTAGGTTGACTATAAATCTAATTAAGGAATGACTCTAATTCTTGGCCAAATTATCGAGTATAATCTGGTTTGGGTCAGTTTACACTTTATAATCCGCGAAGCGGATTATAAAAAAAAGCGTAAACTGACCCAAACCAGATTATACTCGATAATTTGGCCAAGAATTAGAGTCATTCCTTATAATTTAATTTTAAAATAATTAAACAACTTTGGATGTAAAATTGTGTTGTTTTTTACGAGTTCAAATTTACCGCGCAATAATACAACCTTAGTAACGGAAGTGATGTGAAACGAGGGGAGGTAATAACTGATACCTAGATCTAGCAGCCATGTTGTGTGTTTACATGAGGTAAGATCGAGTAAGTGTTTGAAGTTAAAGATACGGTTATTAAATCTTGAATTTTCCATTGATTCCGAGGACTGGAAATGAGGGTATTGCATGGATAAGATGATTAAGCTGGTCGTCAAGGGGGTGTGTCCCCATACCAAACCAGATTATACAAAATGTTCTGCGTTCCTTTTCGGAAATCAACCAATGAGAGGCAAGAATATAAACAAAATTAAATTATTCCTTTTTATTTTATTTCAAATTTAATTTATTAATCAAATTATCATTTAGTTTTTGCTATAAAGAGAAAAAAAAAAACAATGCGTTAAACATTTATTGTTGCTAGGGACTACATAATTTCGCTTAAAATACAGGAACTTTTTGCATAAAAGTATGGCTGACTTCCACAACTAACTATTTTACCTTAATAGTTTAAGTGATTTTGGAGAACTAATCAAGATATTATTTAACATGTTTAACATAACAATCAATAGGCACTTAGGGCTTAACCTGTTATTCAGGAAGAAGAGCAATCACAGTGATATGACCATCTATAAAATCCTTCTTATAACATGCATAACGGGTCCTAAGATCAGAAGTTGCATGCATTTTAATAATCATATTTTAAAATCTAAAATATCTTTTTTTGACATAAACATTATTATGATGTTTGGTTAAACCCAATCACCAGATCACAACTGAAGCATACATGTACACGTGTGTGCGTTGTTGACTTGTCGTGTGCGTATTTAATGTTTCAATTTATTTCACATTGTTTACCTTACGTCCACTTTCATGTCTGGCATGATGTTATGAGTTCGCATTGGTTTAAAATTTACTCTAAAAACAGTAAAACAAAGTTTACATAAAATGTTCTCCAATCTCGTCATGTGTATTATATATCGGTAGAGGCACATAATCTTGAACTCGGTCATCGGTATATATAATCAATTCGAATTCAAGAGCAAAAATATATTTTAAGGAAAGAAATTCACGATAAATTCACAACAAATCTCAAAAGGGAGTAAATGATTCATCTAGATAATTATCAAATATACAGTGGGTACCGTCCGTATAAAACTTATAAAATATACCTTCCGGAATTTTCCAGCCTCCATTTATGTATTACATGTACGTTACCAGTGACGTCACTGAAAAGAGAAGTCTGATGTCTGCAAGTTCTAGGGCCTAGCTACAGGTGCGGAATGCATAAAATCAACAATTATTTAATTACTTTATGACTGTGTGTTGCATGTAAACTAAGGGGGGTGTTTTTTCAGTGTATTACATAATGGAGACTTGGGGTACCAAAAACAGAAAATATTGACCATGTTGAGGCAGTTAGCTGTCTTGGTCAGCACCCAGGTGTATCCATCAACACGGGCACGTTACATCAAAATGCAGGTGAAGTTTTAAAATACTGTTATAACAATTAAGTATTTATTTAAAATGTTTTTTAACCTAACAAATAAGATGCAAAAAAAAAAGAAACAACAACTATTTGATGTAAAGTTCCACTCACTGAATTTATTTCTTTTTACAGTATTTAAAACATCACATTAGATGGTAAAGGAAATTATTATCTTTGAGTGCAATAATGGTGTAACAGTTTTGTTTTTACATATCTGCCCTTTTAATCCTTATGAATATATATAAACTGTGTTTGAGATTGAGAATTTTTATGTGATTTTAGATATGCATTCCAGAATGGTGACTGAAGCTCATCTTTGTAAACACCTAAATGCCTAGAATGGACTCCAAAACAGATTCTTAAAGTTTAACCAGTATAATCTTGAATATGGTAATACTTTTAATTATAAAGAAATAAGATTTTCTGATCATATTGCTTTTAGACTTCCAAATACTACATGTAACTTGAAGCTTTTCATGTAAAATTTGAAATGCAATCGAGTTTGACAAATTTCCCACTACTAAGAGTTATCTCCCTTGTCGGCGTAACTCTCATTTTTCCCACTTTGTCCAAAAGTAAGTTACCTGTTATTATTTTCAATCTTCAAACGTTATTGGACAATTTAGATCTGTACCTGTATTGCCGAAGTTAGGGGCAACATGAAAATCTTAATGTCAGAACGATATTCATTACAGATTTTATTTTTAAGATACTGACCAATAAATTTGGTAAGGTTACAGAGGGAAAACAGGGCCTTACGCTGGATTGACCCCGCAAAGGGGAATAACTTTTGTAAAATTTAATGTGAAAGTTGTCTATTTTTTTTTAACATATATTTTTTTTAACCTCAAGGACAAAAAGTATACACTTGGAACACACACAAAAACAGATGAGTCCATGCCAAGCTAAAGATTAATGCAGAAGGTAAGTTCAATTTTTCATTTCGTAACTCTTCTGGTTTTATCCAGATCGGACCTTACATATAATTAAGTCAGCTTCAGTATATAATAGAAGTAGTGATGGGAATCGGTAAAATTTTCATAATCGATGATTGGATTACTCTATAAAGTAACTATTTATCAATTATAATCGGACATGAAAAAAGTATATCAATTTAAACTAGTAAATGGTAAGAATGGGTAAAGTACGACTTTCTGTGGTGATCCAACTGGTCCTTTGTTCATTTTATAGAACTAAAAGTACGTCCATGCCCAGAAACATGCTTTGTTATCTGGGTAGAAATACAAGAGTTTGTTTATCTGAACCATTATGTTACACAAATAAGTCAAAAGCAATGTTGTAGATGGAAAATTAGGGTTAAAAATTATTATGCTAGTAAAATAAAAATAATAAACTGATTAATCAGAATTTTAAAAATGCAATAGATTGCTTGGATTATGTCAGCAATCGACTGATTTTCGATTATAATCGATGATTGGAACACCACTAAATAGAAGGATATGGAGATAACGAACAGTAATCAATCTCAAAGTCCATAAAACAATACAAAATAAGAGCAGAGCAAACACGGACCCCCGAAACATCAGAGGTGGGATCAGGTGCCATAATAAAACACCTATTTACTTACTATTCAGAAAATAGCTTGTTTATCATCTCCCTCAACAGCAAACTATTTCCATCGGCTGCAACTTGGGGAATAGTTGCTGTCTTGGGGGACGATAAACTAGCTATTGTCCTCATAGCCAGTAAATAGGTGTACATGTATACTGTTTTAGCTCTTCTGAGCCAAAGGCTCAAAGAGCTAATGCTATGGCCATTTGTGCTGTGTGCAAAAATTTTTTGAATGTGGGCCATAACTCAAGATCCCCTTGGACGAACATTGTCAAATTTTCACAGAGCATCCTTGGCCCAAGGGCTACCATTTATACTAAAATTAGGGTTTGTACCCTTATACAAGGGGAGATAAACAGGAAGATAAAACCAAAAGAAGTCTATTTTGGCCTAGAATTGTTAAACTTTGTCAGTTGAGGCATCTTGGGTTTTTGGAGAATGTCGACCAAAAAGTAGGTCACCATGACCTACTTATGGTATTTTATAGCTCTGTTGAAATATCTTCAGTCCTAACTGGCTAAGAATCATGATGGAACTTTCTTGGTTGATGTATTTTGGGTCTTGTAAACATAGAGGCTTCAAATACTGGTGCTAGATTGTACAATTTATTAGAAGAGCGATTCAAGGCCCTTGGGTTTCCTGTTGACCATCGTCATACACTGTGCTCTGTCTGGTAAAATTTTAGCATTTACAGCCTCCTCCCCCCATCCCCACCCAAACTAAAGGGGGGGGGTTTAACCCATCAAAATTATTCAAAATTGTATTTTTTTAATTGGACATCAAGCAAACTATTAGCAAGATTTTAATAAGCATTGAGTCCTACTAAAATTATGAAATTCATATAGCCCCAGGGTAGGTGGATCAGATTTAAAGGCACAGCTTTATTAATTAATCATAAACTGAAAATGCATTGATTCATTGAAAATCTATAGAATGCTCCTAATTTGAAAGCAAAAAGACAGTTCATGACAATGAGGAATAAGTTTTATACCCCTGTAATCAAAGATTCTGGGGTACATTTATATAGCTTTTGCCCTGTCTGTCTGTCTGCAAAATCTTTTCACATTGGCCATATTATTTTAGTGGGTGAAAGTATGGCCTTCATATTTCACAGACCTGGGTATTCATTGTGACAATACTTTTGTATTGGTACAACAAATTAACCTTTAGAATTGAACTTGGATTGTGACTAACTTTTATGAAAGTTTCATAACTTGAATCTTGGCCTTAACTTTTGAACAGTTGGTGCAAGGGCTTTCATACTTCACTTGTATATTTACTGTGACAAGACCTTTCAATGGGTATACATTAATTAAAATATTTGACCTTGAACTTCTAGTTTAACGCACTGTTAAAAAATTTAACTTTGATCATAACTTTTGAGCTGATAGTAGTAGGGCTTTCATATTTCACAGATTTATTCTTTGTGACAAGTCCTTCCTTGGATGTCAAACAATTTGACCTTTGACCTTGACTTTGGAGTTTGACTTGCACTTGGGAAACTTTAACCATAAGCTGGCATATGGGGTATTAGTATGTACAAACACATCTTTTTTTCCGAGTTCAAATCAATGCTATGTAATGAATTTTAGATAAGAAAATTACAAGGAAATATTTGAGGATATAGTGAAAAAAATAGTTTAAAAGATCATGGTTATGAATACTAAAAAATTAAATATTTAGTATTTATATTTAAGTTCTACAGAGAATCAACCAGGATTAATATCAGGATAATAATAATGTTCAGGGGAAAAAATGGGTTTTTCCCTTATTCCATGCATTTAATATTTTCTTTTTCTTTACAGGTAAAAGAGAACTGGAGAAAAATGAATTGATGTTAACATACTCTACATGAAATTTGGCTTAAATCTAAATATGTCTTTTGTTGTGATTGCTTCAAGAGCAATTAAGGATCAGGAAATTTAAAGTGAAGGATAACCAGAAAGTGGATCATTCAACAGATGAAAAGAAAATAAGCCTTTGAGGGAAATTATGTCAAATGCATAAATTGAATATTTCAATTGCACGTAATTTTTGTTTCACCAACGTTTACAATATGTGAAAAAAATGTTCAAAACATGTGTTTAACCATGGTTTGACACATTTTTGTATGGTATTCATACATTTACTATATGAGCAGTGCAAATAATAAACCCATTAAACATGTTATCAGAAACATATGTTACACACATGTTGCACATACGTTATTCATATGTGAAACGTATGAATAACGTACGTGTGCAATATGTGTGTAACGTATGGTGGGCAATACGTACGTTTAACATACGTGACACGCATGATATTCACACGTGTGAAAACGTACGTATAACGTACATGGTGCTTTTTTCATGGAAAACGTATGTGAAGTCACGTACGTGTCACATACGTTAAACATACGTGAAACGTACGTGGCACAATTAGCTGTGTAACATCACCGGATGTTAAAAATTTATACATCTTCCTGTTTATTCAAATATAGTGTAGACGGAGATAGAAGTTCCTTCTATTGTATATTTTAGGTAATATCATTACATTGAATAAAGCTGAACTCCATATTCCACAGATGAAACGTCTACATATATTTATTTCAAAGATCGTAAAAAGGGGGAGTTGTAATGGCGTCTTAATAGTACATTCGAGGTCGTTTTTCCGCTAGTCGGAAATGCCCGAGAAAATGCGATTGAGCTCGATTGATATCATTCGTTAAAGTTTTAAGTAATGGCAATGTCACCATTTCAGTTAATACGATGAAATATTGGAAAAACAAATAAATATTCAAGCTCAAATCAAAGTAAACAATTCTTACTTGGAGCAGTGCAATTATGGACCTCTAGACACACCAGATATAGGATCAGCTCAATGGAGAAGTAAGCATTCCCTACAGGCCGGTCACATCTGTCGTGTTCTCTCTGTCAATTGTGTTAAAAATGGGTAAATCCGTAGAGAATTCAGTTTGTGAATAATTGTGAATGATAATAGCTTAAACAGTAAGTACATGTATGTATAACTTCAGACAGCATTTGACTTAATAATGTGTATTTTCTGACACTTCATATTATTAAATATTTTTGTTCAACTTGTTTGTAAGTAGATTGTCTCATAAGAGACATTGCTTAGTATGTATAGCAAGATCTTGCATATCGAATGAACTATGAAATGCAGGAAGCCTAAGAAAGATAATATTTTGATTGAGTTGATTTATAAAATATTTCATTTCTAAATCACATTTAAGACAAACTGTTTAAAACAATGATTTTGGTACGTTTGCGTATGCATGATGTCGCAGCCTTATTAATTTGTCACTCCTTGGTGATAACAACACGGCTGCTGGGTTTGATAGATACATGTATGTCTATTACATGTATGCCTCCACTGTTTTTCACTATATAAGAATAAATCAATACATTTTGCTGATTTCCTGAAAATCAGCGAAAATATACTAAGTCCATGCAAAAATGATTTGGCAGTCTGGTGAACAAATACACAAATGTTCGGAATCCTTTTAATCATACGAAAAGTTCCAATGAGTTCCAAATAAACTCATGAATATTCATAACGTATAATTCATACGAGAAATGTTATGCCACTCGTATTGTGACGTCAACATGGTAAACTGATGTGCACTAAGAGCGAAACAGATCACATAACTTTGTAAGCTCGGCTAACTGTAATGTTACCTTTAATTTTACAAAGTAGCTAAGATAATGACCTAATGATATATAAGGAATGATTACTTTTTTTACGATTTCATGATGTAATCAATCGATAGGCCTCCGTGATAACTTGCATAAAAAGCCAATCGATTGATAATCTTCAGGAAATCGAAAAATAAGAGAGTCATTCCTTATATTTACATGCTCTTGATTCCGCCAATCCACTTGCTTCAAGCCCTGCTTTTGTCTAGCTATTTGTCCCGCCGGGCACGTGATTTTTTTTACCGCGACTATTGATGAACCAGTACATTGTAACAGGGATAATTTTTTTAAAACATCAATACAATACAACAAAATTATAAAAGTCATTAAAGAAATTCAATTTTATTATAAAATATTTAGGTATCCAATGTCTTTGTCCGAGAGAAAATAGTTAATATACCTATATTCTCAAACATATAATTATTTTATAATACTTTAACTTTTCCTCCTATATTATCTTTAAGAAGACAATTAAACAGGTCGAGATCACTACCTTATATGGAAGGCAATTTTAACACGTGATGATGTCTTCGTCACAACCGTTCTCCAATCAAGTGAATGTTTACGATTCAATGGCGACATGTGGTTTTCGTCGGTTTACTGCACAATATTTTACTCGTCACCGGAAAAACTGTAGAGCTTCTTTATCTCTTTATAAGACTGAAATTGAAAGATTATATTCTTAAAGACATTGCTCCATGCTCACATTTAATATTGGAGTTACTTAAGATGATTCATAGTTGCTTCGAATACCGTACAAACGCTTTGACGTTTGCATGTACATAAACACTTTCTGTAATATGTAATTAATGTTGAGGGGTTAGATAATAATTGCACACATTCTCCTGCTGTTTAAAAACAAGGACCTATCTACTACCTGCTACATGTATAACTAAGTACACATATATCACTGAAAAAAATTCAATGTTGTATCGACACGATAGCACCTACGTCTCTTTAGACAAGGGTTACACCGATGTGTTGTAAATTGATATAAGGCTTCATAAAGCAAATTTTGTAAATATGAGCATAAAAATGAAAGATTATACATCATTTTAAATATTTCTTTCACAACTCTCAAAAAAGAATTGAAAAGAAGTTTCCAAGGAACAATTCAAGTTGCCCTTTACATTCAACACAGCTGGGTACTTGTAGTAGCCCACAATGCATTGTGGTTCATTCAGTAGTAGGTAAGATAAACAGATTGCTAATTTACATGTAACTTTATGCTGACGTCAGAAAATCTAGTGGCCTCGACCTGTTAAATTGGTATTTAATTCATTTCAAGCAACGGTGGTAAAAGTTCTTATCAAAGAGACAGTTATATTCCCACATTATAAAATGTATGGAGAAGGAAAAGAATTCTGTATAATCCTTGGCTAGGATGGAGTGAGATTGTTAAGAAATTTGGTGCCAAGCATGTGCACCTGATACTAAACTGGTAAAACCACTCGCACACCTCTCACTGTAAAATATCCAACACTCAAAAGCCTCCAAACCATTCTGACACAAACACCTTTGACCTTTCACACTACAAATCAACCAATGAGCATTCACCACCATATATATGAATGAGAGACTTTATGAATGAACACATGTCGATATTGCAGAAAACGGCAATTCATATATATATATATATATATATATATATATATATATATATATATATATATATATATATATATATATATATATATATATATATATATATGGGTGAAAATGATGATGAAAGTAATGAAATGATGATTAGTAGATTAAGTCAACAAATAATTCAAATATATAATTATAAAGTATTTATTATAGTTATAATTTATTCACCGTTTGACATTGATTTGCGGAACTACATGTATTAGTTTAATGACACATGCATCAAACGACTATTAAAGAGTGATTGTATATGAGTGAACTATATGAAGGTGATTGACATTTTAAAATTGGAGCTTTTACGATCCCTTAATTCGAGCGTTTAGAGGCAGACCCTGATTCGATTCTCGTTCGCGGCGCCGCATCATACCTAAGACGTAAACATGGGTACTGACTGTTCCTTCCCTAAACGCTCGGCTTAGAAATGAAAGTCACGGGTCTTTCGGAAATGATCTTAAAAACGTAGGTCCCGTGTCGCGGTAGGTCTTGGTACGATCCCTCACTGCTCAATAGCCCAAAATGCCGATAATAGGTACACATTTGAAGTCCTCCAACTGCAAACGGTGACGTCTCCACATGAGTGAAAAATTCTCGATAAGGACGTTAAACAATATACAATCAATAAATCAATCGAGCATTTATTTTTATTGTTAAAAAATAATCATACAGCCTGAAGTTAACATTTTGTGAATCTCTATAGATAACGTATTTCAGATGACATTTGAACTCGTATTTAACATAGCAAGGGCGGAAAAATTAAAAGTAGGACGGAATAAGTACTTTAAAAAAAATATCCACACTTATACTGTGAGGAAGTTATATAGACATACTGAATTGCAACAACGACCACAATCTACGTATGTATTTGCAATGATTTCCTGGTAGTTATCATCGGTTTGTTATATCATGGATACTATTTATTTAATTTTAGTATCATTTATAGGGATACAGAAATTAGAAGGATTTGGTAGGTATAACATTTAGTGTGATCGTTTTTAAGACCTTTTATACGATATTGATATTATTATTTTTTTTTGGGGGGGGGGGGGCTGAGGGTTCCTTTGATTCGATATAACTTTGTTATTTTTATTTCATCTCTGCTTAATATAAACTATCAAACTTATCAATAATGACTAATTTTCAAATTCATTAAATATGAATTTGTCATATGATCGCTGAATGTTCTCTTCCGTTCGTTTTGATGTATTCACTAAATAAAATTGTCAAATTCTGTTTCTTACTGTTAAATTTTTACAGTGCATGTATACAAGTCATGTACATACATATATATATTTACTATATTAAAACACTAAGTATTAAATATTATAATACAATATTGAAATAAAGATTCTTTTTAAAACTTTAGACTTCGTAATTTTTTTTCTTTTTTGAAGATGAATTATCAAGAGGTAAAACTGCAACACAGTCCCGAATCTACCCTTGTTATCGAGTTACTTGTGGCCCAGACAAAGCTGTGGACGGTGATAGAAAAACATGCATGAGGTCAGACTATATTGGTCCATTATTTCCAGATAAAACAACATGGTGGACGGTAGATCTTGGAGGAAATCACAGCATTTACAGCATCAGTATAGATTTCAAGGACTACAAAGACTATGGTGATTTTAGTATAATTTGATTTTACAAGCAAAAATTAATATGTTTTCTTATTTTTTCAAAATAGGTTTAAAAGTATATTTTTCTTATGCTTATAAAAGAAATACACATATAATTATCTTGAACAGTTAACGGTCACTGAATGTTGCAGGGTTGGCTATCATTTCAAATCATCTTTCTTTCAGACATAATTTATGGGAAGCACAATATAAATGTTATACTAATGACAAACATATGCTTGGATGTTTTTGAAATTTAGTGAGTTAAGTCAAAGCAAATCTGCCCCAAACCAATTTACACACCACATGCTGCATGGAAAGCACATTTCTTTTCTAAAATTATTCCAGAAAAAAAACGAGTGTTACCAAATATTTGTTAACGGTGCACTTCTATTTTACACAAAATAGCAAAAAAGGAAAATAAGTAAGGCAAGATCTTAACATACGAGAGTTGTTGGACGATGCAAGCCTTCGTTATACCACTTTCGAGAAACTCAAACTAAGCACAATTTCATGTGTACAAACAAATGTTTTGTTGGTGTGTGCAGTTTCATTCCATTCGATGAAATAGAAATCAATTTCCTTCATTTTACAATCAATCCGTCTTCTGACCACGGAGTGCACTTGATAGCAAGGTAACGTCAAAAACATACCGTCAAGAATTTCGTCAAAATACTACCCCTATACATTTTACACTATACAGTTCAATAATCACAAACTAAAATCCGTTTTCTGGAGCTTGTTTTCTTCTACTAACAATTGTTCTCGTTTTATAATTTCGCTTGTCAACGTTTTAATTTATTTTACCACATCAATGTGTTTTCACAAGATCAGCAACTCTGAAGCGCCTATGCCTTTCCATAACGTTCCAACTCCATAAAGTTAGTGTTAAGGGACTCCAATCCTCAGCCAGGAAGGTTAACTCATTAATTTATAATCTAATTCAAAAAATCTCAAAACGAAGCTTGAAAATTAAATCTTTTCATGCAACAATTTTCATTATATACCTCTCAGTCTGCTTCAAGGTTCTTTGAAGTTCTGAGTAAGGTCTAATTAGAAGTCGAAATTAATACCCCGTAAATGATTTTAAAATTATACATATATCAAGAAAATGATGTTCATTTTTATCTAACCAAGTATACCAATTTTTATTAACAGAGGAAATTAGAGGTGATTTATGGAGCTTAGCAATGACAAGAGAATCTTTATACACTTTGCACTGTAAAATGATCGATGTTAATAAAAGAAATTAAACAATTGTTATTTATATTAAAATTGTTGAATTTCTTCAAAAGCCTGGATACCTATGAATTTTATTTTTAAAATGTGTTAATTGATCAAATTTGAATTGGAAAATGCATAGCAGGTGTTTTTATTTGCAATTCCTGAAAATATATTTGAAATTTACTAATTTTCTCTATATAAAATGATTCTCTTAAAAGGTGAAGTTTGAAGAACTATTCTGGGTAAAATCACGTTACTTTGAAAATTCAGAGTCATTTTTGTGAGCATTTTCAATTAGCCAATGCTTGATTTTCAGAACCTGAGGATCGGAGTACCTTAAGATTTTACCAGATAAGGCGTTTCTTCACAGACTGTCCTCGTTCGATACAGAGTCTCTGTCTCTGAAATACAGCCTGTATACTATTGATAAACACATGTTCGACCTACTTCTGACATATTATTTTTATTCCTTTAACTCATGAAAGTTTATTCAGGATTTTTCCCGAATATAACACAAGATCGCATCGTTTTCTGTTGCTTCGTGACGTTCTACGTACAGCGTCTTCATTTTTGTCTCTTTCAATGAGGACTACTTATCTTCTCAAATTAAGTACTCTTCAACGAAGCAAATTATTATGCTATAAATTAGAATATGAATCAATGTAATAGTTCTCAGTTTAAAAGACTGGAATTTTTTCCCCGTTTTGCTTTATTTTACAGAGAATATGAATACAGACATTATCATGTTTATTTAGTGTGTTGTTTGTGAATTACTAACTTTTGACCTGCTCAGCGATCCTATTTTTACAGCTTTAAATTCTAGATAGCTTTGAAGTAAATCATGATAATTTCAAAGTTTTAAATACTTATCGTTTGAATTTATTATAAAAAATATTTGTAAAAAAATTAAGTAGCACATGCCGTTCAATAAAGAAAAAGATATGACAGGAGTCCATGCACTTTTCGAACAACCCTCGTATAAATTGAATTTCTAATATTTTCAGAGGTGAGACAAAGAGGCCGTTTCGCCGGATTTTCTCTTTTTATATCAAACACTCCTTATAAAGAGGACGGCCATCTTTGTTATAAGAACACGCTCCCATTGCCTCCCTTGGAGTTTAATACAACTTGTATTGGATATGGCCGTTACGTCATCTATTATAATGAAAGACTGGACGGAGTCACTTACCCTAAAGATTACCAAAGCCTTGTCTTCACTGAGTTATGTGAAGTGAAAATTGAAGGTTTTTTTTCAAAGTTTTTTGATGATTTTTTCAGAACAGCAAGATGTCATATCTATTTTGGAGTATTCTAATATATAAAAAGCATTACGTTTTGTTGCTAGTCCCCCTTTCATGCACAACTCTCTTGCCAAAAATCTATCTAGGAAATACATTTGGCATGAAAAAATACTTGTGTTCGTTACATTATTTTGTGATCTTTAAATCTGGCAAAATTTAAAAGTTTACACGGTAACTGTTACGAAAGGGTACTAGCTTAATCCATGCAGGATACGTGCATATAAAAAACACTAGTGAAGATTTTCAGGATATATTTATCTCCATAATTGAGGAATTACAAGACTAGTAAAAACCAAAAATAGCATTGTGTTGTATGTGTTTTCCTGATACTCCCGTTAATTCATTAATTTAATTTTTGTGATACGAATTTCATTTTATGCTCTACAAGTGAAAGAATTAATTTCGAAATGTCCGATTTTCATGGGAAAAATTGTATGCGTTTACGTTCCATTTTGTTTAGGTTGTTCGAAATCAGGAGTTTATGGACGTAACTGTAGTTTATCTTGTCCAATCAATTGCCAAGAGCAGAGGTGTAACATTGTCAATGGGACATGTCTTGGTTGTGTGCCTGGATACATTGGGCAAATGTGCGAAACTGGTATAGAATTTGTATTGTATGCAGTATACATATTTTTGTATCAGTGTATTTTAACAAAACGGTAGATTATGATTTCAATTGATTATTTAACAGAATGTCCCTTTGGATGGTATGGTGACCTATGTAAAAGACAATGCACAGGACATTGCAATGGAAACATTTCTTGTAATCACGTGACCGGATATTGTGATGGAGGATGTGCAGCTGGATTGATGGGCAAGCAATGTGACCAACGTAATCATTATTAAAATAGACTTTAATAAACGACAAATGTTTTTAAGTAGTTTTTTTTTCTTGAATAGAAAATATCATGTTGGTTTTATATTATATTCAAGATCATCATGCTTTAAGTACATGTTCCATATACTTCTCAAATTAAATTTATTGAAATTAAGGAATTTTTTTTTTTTTTTCAAAAAAAAAAAATATGTAATTCAAATCTGTTATTCATCTTAGAGTGTAACATGGGAACGTACGGCTCAGGATGTTTACAGAACTGTACTGGCCACTGCCTAAACAATATCAGTTGTAACAGAGAAACAGGGATGTGTAATTCCGGTTGTGACGAAGGGTATACTGGAAATTTCTGTGAAAAGGGTACGAAAATTGGTACATTTTAAAATAAAAATCATAATATAATAATATGAAATGCTTTTCAAAACTTAAAGTTAAGTTTCAAGAAAATTACACACACACATAAATATTGGAATGCTATTTTTCCTATTCTTAATAAGAATGCCCTCCAGGACGCTTTGGACAGGATTGTCTACAGGAATGTAGTGGTAAATGTTGGAATAATAGTGGTTGTAATCATGTCGACGGTGAGTGTAAAGAGGGATGTGCTGCTGGATACGAAGGGAAGCTCTGTAACGATGGTGTGTACAACATTTTTTCTTATTTATCTTGAACGCAATTATAATTTTGTAAACACGAAGTAAAAATGCAAATTAACATTGTATGTCCAACAACTTGCACTAAAGCAAAAAATCTGAAATCCATGCAAATGAATTAAATTGTCATAGTCCGATAATTTTATGAATTTAACCTGAATGAAGTATGTTCTGAGGATTTAGAAAGAGCTGAAGCTATGATACGTTTCTTGACAGTTATCAGTTAATTAACTTAAAAGAATATGTTACTTATTGCTATTTTTTGTAGGGAAATTTTTACATTTTTGACAAGTTTGCAACAATATATTCATAGTCATTCTTCATCATTAATATAATTACTCGAGTTTTCCATTTCAGTTTGTTCAAATGGTTCTTTTGGTATTCATTGTAATAAAACCTGCTCAAGGCAGTGTATTGGTATGTGCAATCATGTAGATGGCAAATGTGACTGTTTTCCTGGATTCCAAGGAGCACCATACTGCACAAAAGGTTATTATAATATTTATTTTTGTAACAAACATTGACAGATATTAACTGATATTAATTATAGTACATTTTGTTTTGTAGAGGATGAATATCTCAGGATCTATAGATAACAATTTGTTGACTCTCAAATACGGATATTTCAGTAAAACATGCATTATTATAGTAACAAGTTAACATGGATCAATTTCAATATTATTCGTTTTTTCTCTACAAAATGTAACATAAAATATTCTCACTGAATATCAATATATCTTGTTAGGAAACAAAAAAATCATATTTTGAAATCAAATCTAAAATTCTTTCCTAGAACTTAAAATGTAAGGGGGATAAATGTTAGAAATAGAAAATTTATGAAAAATCTAATTACTGACATTTTAAATGATTTCAGAATGTTTCGATGGATTCTTCGGAATAAATTGTCAGCATAAATGCAGTGGCCACTGTCTTAACGGCGAATTTTGTAGAAAGTTTGATGGAGGTTGTCCCCATGGATGTCGGGATCAATATCGTGGGCTACTCTGTGATTATCAAGGTACGTGTCTGCCAAAAACGTTTATGTCCTATGAACATCCAATTATGGTAGAAAAAGAGATAATTACAATGTCAAAACAGGATGCGATAAATGCTTTCAAACAGTGGTTTTAATATAAAGTTTATTGTAGATGAAACCTCATGGAAGATAGGATGTTCAGTGTCTGTTGCACTTAATATGATATTTATATCATCAATTGTTGTTTATATCATAATTAAAAGGTAAAACCATTTTTGATTTACAAAATAAAAAAAAATTCAACGGTTTATCAAAATAACATAACAGCTATATTTTGTTAAAAAAAAGTTCTATCAACATTTTTTTTTACTACTTTCATATAATTGCAGTAATTGTTTTCGAACATTAAAAACAAAGGTCAAAGAGCTAGAGCCGCTTAGGGCCTTTTACGGCCCTGGGGATTTCTGAAAAATAAAAAATGCTCAGTTGAGGTTGAAAATGCAATACGTGTATTTATCAATTGGACTGTTGGTGACCATGTTTTTATTGAACATGACCTAAGTTTTCCTTTAGTCAATGCATTATGACGACATAAAATGTGTCATTCTCCAAATATCCTGTACATTTGCTTGAAAATGGCCTGAAATTGAAGTATTTTATTTATATTTTATATAGAGCACAACTTCTAATCCAAACTATTCAGTTACATAATGAAAGATCTTTTTCAGAAGATCAAAAAACATGTTTTGATTTTTAGATCATGGGCTCTGATCATATTTTAATTCTTTGCTGAAGGTAGTCAAATGCGCGTGTTTTTCTGCAAAATTCAATAACAATGCATTCTCTCAAAGCCTGTTTTCCAATACTTTGATTCTCATAGGAAATGATAGCACTAAATCTCGTCTTTTTTCTTATATACAAAATGGGAAAGATGGTGATAGTTTATTAATTGATATAAGGACAGGACCATTTTATGCATAAAGTGAACCTAGCTCTTTGTTAATAATCAATAATTTTTATTAATATATTTATTTTGCAGAAAAAAAGAAATCTTTATGTTCAAAAAGAATATTCATGACCCTGGAAAGAACTGCGAGGAAGCAAATGTAGGGTCTACAAATATGAACACAATTACAGATAAACCATTTTATGAGGAATTGGATGCTTTAGAGAAGAGTTCTGAATATCAGGAACTACAAGTGGAAAGCAAATCGGCTTATGAGAATTTAGCATTTGAAACTGCATAAAATATTTCTATCGTTTAAAATATTATTTTTTAATCCTACAGACTGAGTAAATGACCACATTTTATTCATCATATAATTTAGTTTCTAGTCTGCATATAGAGTATGTTTATTGAATTTGCAAAGTCTTTACTGTTGTCTTCATGTGTGTTTTACTTATGAAAATGGAGAGAGAAAAAGTAATATATACATTTGAAACCTTGTGAAAAAAATAAAAATGATGCTTAAAATTGATATGATACTAAAAAAATAACGAAAAATCACACACTATTTAAATATTATTTAAATATCATAAAACACCTATATTGATTGTTGAATATTTCACTTAAAAAAATGACTTTTTCATTTTCTTTACACAACTCTTTTAATGAGAAACCAGAAAAAAGGACAACAGCTACACAGTGCGGCGAAATCTAGATATTCCGCTTTTAATTATAAAAAAGTATGACCATGAAATACCAATTATTTTACGAAAATATTGTTAACCTTACTTGTAGGCATAAACATATGCAAACTTTAAAAAAGGTTCTCTCTCATTTATTGATGAAAAATTCTGTGTTACTCTAAAGAATTCGAATTAATGAATTTGTTCCTTTCACCAAAAGACAAATTATCAAGTTTTGCTTTACTTGCTTGAAAAAAAAACATTTCAAAACAAAAAACTATTATTTTAAAATATCACGAAAAATATATTTTTCTTGCAAGATAATTGGAGATGATAATAATAATCAAAAGAAAAATAAAAAAATTAAGAAGATGCATTTAACCTAGATAAAGTGGAGCTAAAGGCAAACTTTCTTCTAATGAATACACAAATAAGGAAGAAAAAGTCCGTCTAGGTTTAATACTGCAGTTCTACTGCGGTGAGAACGAAGAATTTTAATTTTTGTTATATGTTACAAACTTAAGCTTCCTGGTGTGTAACTGAAGCCGATATATATAATATGGGCATTAATTATATAATAGTTCTCCTTTTAGCAGGAACGCCTTGTATGTCTGGATTTGGTAGGTACATGTAAAGCATTATCGTTTTCTTCCTTTCTACGCCTTTGCAAAACAATTCAAACCGAATTAAACGCAATCATTTAATTTTGTTTGCTTAACATCAATGTGTTGTATTTTTGAACAACTTACTGCTTTAGTTCTTGCTGTGTGATTTAATTCATTTCTTAAACACGATAATCAATACAATGAATTCTCATTTGGAAGCAGTCCTTGTTATGTATTTTTGTTTGGTTGCAAAACACGTAATTCACAAAACCGTACCCATCTAATAAGTAGGGCGGATGTCGTCAGCTCCGAAATAACCAGTTCTAGTTCTGACCAAAGGTGTACAAACGGTCCTAAAGATATGACGTTTATGTCTTTATAGTTTTACAATATTTTATCCATTTTCATTGATTATTGTTCAATAACTACTTGTCAAACCTTATTATACATTCAAATGGAATTATGAAAAATGATCTAATAAACATTCAAATATAAGAAATCTTTCGAAAATTAAAATATTTTTTTTAGAAAATTCAATATGTTGTATTCCCTAAATATTAACAAAGCATTTTCGGAGGTTATGCATCGCATTTAATTTAGACTTGACCTATCTTGCCTTCTTTAGTTGCGGACTGCTATGATTCTTTGAAATCATATGCATGGACATGCGTTTACTGCCAGGTTTGATTGATCCATGTTTAATCTGTTCATTCTGCACCAGAAATGTAATATTGGTCTTTCATTCAGCATAGTTATGCTTTGATTTTTCTAAGCAAGTATGGAACTGATCTTACATGTGAAAAAGACATAGTGAAGCTTCGTGGTGATATTGTACGGACGTTACAATTATGGTTTTGCAAAAAGCACATGATTTAATAATCTTTTTTTTTACACTAAGACAACAAAACAATTTTCACCTTCACAGCTATTAAAAGGATAGAATTCTAGGTCTTTACGTTGACAAGGAAGAAAACGGCAACAACGCTCCCTGAACTTATTTGCCAACGCTCGCCAAGTTGGCCTTAAGACTGATTCTTTCTTTGACCGGTGGGCAGGGGACGCTCACTACTACATAGCATCTGATCCCATCTCTTATGTTTTAGAGGTTCTTGTTTGCTCTGTTCAAAAATTTATATTAAACCAGAAGTCTCTGTCGAGACTGAAGCTCTACTGGTTTGTACTTATAGCAAAGGAAGAGAAAAGTACTTCAGCAGTTGGAAATTGAAACTTTTCAACAGCAATAAATAGAATAATGATCCTTGATTAAGTCTCTTTATGTTCTTAGTGCAGTCTACTTGCATGCCACATTTATATTATAATCAAACTAAAATTGTATTTGGAGTAGCATTTTGAAAGAATTTCACAGAAATTTCTATTTTTAGTAACCACGGCAACACCGTTCATCGAAATCAAAAACCGATACACAGAATTGTGTATCTTAGTGTAGTCTACTTGTGTGCCAAGATATATTGAAATCAGACTAAAACTTTAGGAGGAGTAGCATTTTGAAAGAATTTCACAGAATTTCCTATTTTTAGTAACCACGGCAACACCGTTCATCGAAATCAAAAACCGATACACAGAATTATGTATCTTAGTGTAGTCTACTTTTGTGCCTAGTTATATTGAAATCAGACTAAAGCTGTAGGAGGAGTAGCATTTTGAAAGAATTTCACAGAAATTTCTATTTTTAGTAACCACGGCAACACCGTTCAACGAAATCAAAAACCGATACACAGAATTGTGTATCTTAGTGTAGTCTACTTGTGTGCCAAGTTATATTGAAATCAGACTAAAACTGTAGGAGGAGTAGCATTTTGAAAGAATTTCACAGAAATTTCTATTTTTAGTAACCACGGCAACACCGTTCATCGAAATCAAAAACCGATACACAGAATTATGTATCTTAGTGTAGTCTACTTTTGTGCCAAGTTATATTGAAATCAGACTAAAACTGTAGGAGGAGTAGCATTTTGAAAGAATTTCACAGAAATTTCTATTTTTAGTAACCACGGCAACACCGTTCATCGAAATCAAAAACCGATACACAGAATTATGTATCTTAGTGTAGTCTACTTGTGTGCCAAGTTATATTGAAATCAGACTAAAACTGTAGGAGGAGTAGCATTTTGAAAGAATTTCACAGAAATTTCTATTTTTAGTAACCACGGCAACACCGTTCATCGAAATCAAAAACCGATACACAGAATTATGTATCTTAGTGTAGTCTGCTTTTGTGCCAAGTTATATTGAAATCAGACTAAAACTGTAGGAGGAGTAGCATTTTGAAAGAATTTCACAGAAATTTCTATTTTGAGTAACCACGGCAACACCGTTCATCGAAATCAAAAACCGATAAACAGAATTATGTATCTTAGTGTAGTCTACTTGTGTGCCAAGTTATATTGAAATCAGACCAAAACTGTAGGAGGAGTAGCATTTTGAAAAATTGTTTACAGACAGACAGACAGACAGACGGACAGACAGACAGCTAGACAGACGGACGGACGACGGACGCATTACTATCGCATAAGCTTTTCTGGTCTCTGACCAGTAGAGCTAAAAACACTTATTTTTTTTTAATATATTTTCTTCAACTAGATGACTTATCATAAGGAAAAACTGCTAAGCAGTCTGCATGTAGCCTACCCTGTGGTCCAGAAAAAGCTATTGATGGCGATATTAATACCTGCATGAATACATACCCTATAGGTCCGAGAACTGATGAAAAAACCGTTTGGTGGACGGTAGATCTCGGCGGAATTCGAAGCATTTTCAGCATCAATATTAATTTCAACGACTATGGGGGTAGCGGCGGTATGTTTTGTTTTAGCCTTCACACCGTTTGAAAACAGTTCTTTAGATTGAAATTACTCGTTTCCTAAAAAAACCCCTCAAACTTATACCTGCAAAATATTATTGGATATTGTTATTATACATTACTGAAATGGCATATCAAATGTAGGATATACAATGTACAAGTATAAGATGAAATGTAGGTCGCAATACGAAAAAGTAAATATAAAATTAATGCAATTTCGTCTTCATTCGTCTTCTTTGTTAAATTGTCATTGCAGCAGTATTTTTAATAGTAAAGAATCCAAACAATGTATAATTCAAGCAACATCTATAAAAAAAAGCTAGCGGACGAAGTGTAATTTATTTTGTATGTACTTTGATAAATGTATAAATAAATGTTAGTATCAAATAATTAAATATATAATAAATGTACAATATTCATTTTATTGACAGCAGAAATGTTTTTCCTTGAATATATATTTATTCTTATGTATGGAAATAAAATGTCGACCTAGATAAATACAGCAAATTCAATTTTTCATTGATTCAAATACTGACTGGTGTTTTTAATACGAATTGTTAGTCCACTGTTTATAAATTGAATTGACGACGAATTTTCCGTTATTTGTCGATCATAACAAGGAGCACACGGCGGTTGTGACCGGTCAGCAGGAGATGCTCACTCCTCCATGGCATCTGACCCCACTTCTGCTGTTTTTCATTAAAGGTCTGTATTTGCTCTGCTTCTATTTACTATTGTTCCATTGACTTTGATATTGAATGCTCCAACGCAGTACCGTTAAGGCTTATCGGAGCTTAAAATGTATTTAAAAAGTAACATTGCATTGTAAAATTGATTTTGAGTTTTATTTTTAAGTTCTGTACTTAAGTACGTCCAATTCATATAGAGAGTTCTCTTGGCTTTATATAAACATATTTGTTACCATATCATATGACCTTGTTGATCACGTGATGGAAATTTCTTCTTTTTTGGAATGTTTCACATTAATCGCTTCTGCGCAGGTTATTAAAACAATTAATATTAACTTTTTGTCACACAAATAAACTCGTTGCATCCTTGTGAAACCGAAATGTGCTTGGGAAAAGTTATACTATTTCTTTTGTACAATTTATTTCTCATTAACTTCAACTTATCAAATAATCTGAGTGTATCTTCTGCTGAATACCGTCATTTGTTTTAAAACAAAGCCATTATACATTTTTCCAAGGCAGAGTTCAGTACATTAGAGGGGAACTCCTCTTACATATTTCCACAAAAGATATCAAATAAATCCTCATTAATAACCTGCGCCAAGCTCTTTTATACACATATAATGAATTCTGCCTCAGTCCACGGGTATAAAAAGGGGAAAATGTCAAACGTATATTTTCGTACGTAGTTTGACAAGAGCAATAAAGCAAAGTTATCTAAATTATACTGATATATTAGATTTTTGAAAAAATGATATAAACACGTGTATTTTGAACTAGCATTTTGCATCTTTATATCTTTACAGCTCAAGTATGCAGTGACGACGCCATTTTCAAATATGACGTCAAATATTTGCATTCTAGAGAAGTGCATGCACAGAGTACACTACGATATTCTCTGGGAAACCTTATCGTACCTGCGATATCTTTCATATAATTTTTTTTTCTAATATCAATTGAACATTATTTTGTAAGTAGAATATTGAAAAATTATACCGATTCATTGAGTGCACGGCACCCCAAGGGATTATGGAGGAAAGAGGGCTTCTGCGGAATTTTTTTCTAGATATTTTGCTGTATGTTATTAAGAATAAATGTAATTCAAAAAAGAAAGAATTTAAAGTTCAAGGGCTGCCAGGTTAACTAAAAAATACTTTAAGGATTTCAATCCCTAATGGTACCGAATTCTCTACCCTTAAATGTCCATCAAGTACACAATACTCTGATATTATATTAAAGCATTTTATAGTGGAAAAGGATTGCCCACGAGAAATTTTCAAAAAGTTCATTAATTAAGCATTAGTTAATTAACAAAGATTGCATTGGAGTCTATGGGGAAAAGCGGTTTTTTTTTCAAAATAAAAATTCAAATAATTTGAATATCAATAAATCCTGTTGTGGAAAGATGCATTGAAATATTACAATGTAAAAATGGAATGATAATTGACAATTTTTTTTTACAAGCTGATTTTTTTTATTTGATTTTTTTATTTATTAAAAAAGAG